CAGTCTCTCTTAAGGTTCCTATACCCACCTCAAGCCATGACCTGTTAAACCCGAAGGGTTCCACAGACAGGGACAATGGACATTCTTAGGCTGACCTGGTTGGACTGATGACTGAGGAACAGATGGACCCAATCCACAGATCCTTCCAGGCTAAAAAGGAGCACATCCTGGCAGGGGATTCCCATGTCTGGGTTCTGGCAGATCACAGATAACCCATTCAAAATGGGCAACCGAAGTTAGCATCCTGTAGGGACTATTTACAAGGTTGAGGCAGGGTTAACAGAAACCAGCAAAAGACTGTGAGGTACCCTCTCAAGCAGAAGGGACAAAAGAGGAGGAAGTGGTGATTGTAATCACATGAGAGCTATGGGAAAGGGACACCTGAAGCAACTGTTACCCTTAGAGAAACACAGCCACTTGGAAGAAAATGGCCACCAAGGATAAATCCATGGGAATAAATACCCCAACACTGCTCTTCTCCTACCCTGTGATTGCCTACTGATGCCTCCCATTGGCCTAACCCAACTAGAAATCAGAGGGCAAGAGAACCCAGCTGCTGTAGCCTATCAAAGGCAGCCTCCTGGGCACAGATTGAGTGGTTTAAACAACAGATACTCATTTCTCACAGTTCTGGAGTCTGGGAAGTCCAAGATCAAGGGCATCAGCAGATTTAGTGTCTGGAGAGAGTTGACTTCCTTGTGCATACATGGCAGTCTTCTCACTGTGTGCTTAGATGGCAGAAGGGAGCTCTCTGAGGCCTCATTAATAAGGGCACTCATCCCATTCACGAGGCTCCACCCCCATAACCTAAACACCTTCCAAAGGCCCCGCTTTCTAATATGATCATATTGGAGGTTAGGATTCAATTTGAGAATTTGGGGGGACACAAACATTCAGTCTATAACACCTGCACAATAAGGGCTCAGCCTCAGTCAGAAATTAAGTTGATGCGGACAACAAAGAAAACGACAGCATGGTCTGCACCTGTGACTCTTACCCCTTATGGAGGGGAGCTTACCTGAGCGTCAAACATCTTCAGGAATGACAGGTTGGTCTGAACTCCTACAACAGAGCTTTTAGAACAATGGTTTTGACCTTGTTGAAGAACTGGTGCGTAGAGAAGAGGTGGACTTTCCAGTGGTTGCTGCTGATTTCAGGAATGTATTGAGAATAAGTCATATGTGCTTTGAAACTTGCCAACAGGTGGACAATAGAAGGAAGAGAAAAAAGAATGCAGCCTTGATAAAGTCTGCTAATGACACAGATTTCTCTGAGCTTCTCAGAAAAAGTGTTTAGAAAGGCAGCAGTGTGAAAAGTTACTTATGGCCCCACCAGACACCCCAAATTTCTTAAAAAACAAAACTAAACTAAATCTCTGACCATCTTTCTAGGAAAAGAAGAGCACAAGCCTGAGAAACTCTAATCCAGAGGAAAGTGGGATCTGACCTATTTAGAACCAGTCTTGGCCGGCTTGAAATTTAGAATGCGTTGGGTTCCTGGCTTACCCCTGACCACCTATGAGTTTTCCTAGTGTCTGAGGTTGGTAAAGGGGGAAGGGAGAGGAGGTGGCTGCACACTTCTGAGGAGAAGGGGAGTCAGGTGCTGACTGGGAGAGTTCAGCAGCACCTTCTCAGAACCTAGCTAGATTGAACAGCTGGAGAGTTCTCAGGCAGTAAACAGAGCTCCAACGGGCATTTCATGGTTCTTTGGGAAGCCAGGTGGGAGGTCCTCCTGCAGGATCCCCAAGAAGAGTCTACCAAGGCAAAGGGACTCTGGGTCCCTGCATCTGTCTTCATGTTTCTTTATGTACCATCTGTGCAAAAACCCAGGGGATATTTTAGGAGAAACTGAGCTCTGGAAAGGGAGGCATAGTTATAACTAGAGCTCAGGTCTTCTTGCCCTTGATAGTTTTATTTCTCATGCTACCCCAGTTTCTCAGAAGTTGGAGGGTTTGACACTGTACTGGACATTGGTTAGGAAACTGAAGTAATAATTAGGCCTGATCATTAGAGGCTGTTCTGATACCTACTATACATCAAGTGCCAAAAAAATTACAGATTAATTAAGAAGTCAAAGAATAATTATCACAACGAAAGAATTAGAAGAAAGTATAGGCAAATATTTAGCTATTCCTAAGGTGGCCAAGGCCTGTCTAAAAAAACAACAACAACAACAACAACAACAAAAACCCAATAGGTTTAAAATATACAGGCATCCTTTGGAAATATTGCGCGTTTGGTTCCAGACCACTGGAATAAAGCAAGTATCACACTAAGGAGAGATGTCACCCTTTTGCTGGTGGAGGGTCTTGCACTCCGTTAAAACATGTGACACGTGATGCACGGTAAAGCAAGATGTAATAAAACAAGGTATGCCTGCATTATACAGTATATATGTACATCTATACAATTAAAATTTACAGTATTATTTTTAAATCATCAAAAACTAAAATTAATAGGATAAAATTAATAGAAAACAAGTTGGGAAAATATCTGGTTAATATCCTTACTATAGAAGAACATATAAGAATGAAATAGATGACGGTCCCAACAGAAAAATGCTAATGAGCAATAAGCATATGGAAAGTATTAATTAATTAATACAACAGTGAAATATGACAAAATACCATATCGTTTTTCTGGATTGACTGAGATAGGGAAAAGCATAATATCCCATATTGTCAAGGATGCAAAAAGGGGGCATTTTCAAACATTTCCATCTGGAATGTAAATTGGTTTGACTTTTTTGGAGGGTAATTTGGTAGTTTATATTATATAAGTCTGAAAGTGTGCGTAACTTTTTAACTTAGCAATTCCTCCTCTAGAAATTTATCTTAAGGAAATAATCAAGTACATGCACAAATAGTTATCTCCAAGAACGTTTACTCCAGTATTATTTTAATAGTGAAAAATTGGGGTCAGAAGTATTGACTTAAAGATTGACAGAGTTGGGTGGTGGGTACCTGGGTCTTCATTATTGTGTTAGTTTTCTATCGTTGCTGTAATGAATTACCATTAAGTTTGTGGCTTTGAACAACACGACTTTCTTATTTTACCATTCTCCAGTGCCGTTTGACCCAGGTCTCACCCTTAAAGTTGAGGCGCTGGCAGGAATGTGTCCTTTCTGGAGGGCCTAGGGGAGAATCCATTTCTTGGCCTTTCCCAGCTTCTGGGGCTGAACACATTCCTTGACTCATGGCCCCATTCTTCCATCTTCAAAGCCGGTAACACAGCTGGCTTTTTCATCAGCACACCTTTTTCTTTGATTTTTTTTTTCTGTCTTCCTCTTCTACTTTTAAGAACCCATGTGATTACATTGGGCCTACCCAGAAAACCCAGGATATTTTTTCCTGGTTTCTCAGCTGATTAGCAACCTTAATTCAACTCACCGGGTAACTGCAGGTCCTGGGGATCAGGACACTAAAGTCTTTGGGAGCCATTATTCTGCCTACACAATTCTATTAGTCCTTATACTTATTCACCTGAAAATATTTAATATTTATTAATATTTAAAAAATTAAATATTTAAAAACCCAATCCTCATTCCAATTTAGCATATGGATGAAAGGAGGCTATATATTCATTTGATGAATACTCTATGTGCCCATTAAAAGTCATAATTAGACAAATATGTAGTAACATGGAGCAATCTTCTTTATATACTGAGTTGAGGGAAAAATGAAGCTTAAACAGGAAATATGGACAAGGTGATACCAATTATGTAAAACAAAGCCCAAAACAAATCTATATGTAAGTGAATAAAAGTGTGAGAGGGCATAGGTCAAAGTGTTTAAAATGTTTATTTCTGCACGGTGATTTTAATTTTCTATTTTTCTGAATTTTCCAAAAATGTGTATTTTATATATTGTACACAGTATTTTATATTATTTTTGCAAAGAGAGAAATAGGCGATTAAATAGGTCTATTTAGAACAATTCACTGGTCAAGCGTCTCCCTGGTTTCTTAGCTTTCGATTACATTCCTTCACACTTGTTCCTCACGCTTGGCCTCACCAAAAATATTTCATAGCCGTGACACACCGTTTTCTTCAGGCCCGAGTTGTCCACTCTGGAACGCTCGCATACTCCCCAGAGGACAGGAAGGAGCCTCACAGCGAACTGAGTGTGGCAGCGAATCTGTGCTTCTTAAAAACTTTGTTACGGCAAAGCAAACCCAAGGCGCAGCCTCATCCTACAAAGAACTTTCGCAGTGGCTTAGAAGCCTGGGTGCACAAGTATAGGGGCCTCTTCTATAATTTCCCTGGCACGTGTTAATAGTTTTAATTAATAATATTGTTCTTAATACACAAAAGAACAGAGGATAGTGGCCCAGCGAAAGGAGAGCAGACGGGCTTTGCGGCCGAACCGTGACAAGCGGCCCCGCGTGGCCGCCCGGGTTGGCCCGCGGGGTTCCGCGATGCCGCCGGCACTCCCTGTCCGCGGCCTACGCACGAGGCAGCTTCCCGACCGGGCACACAGCGTGGCCTGAGCCTGGCCCCGGGCATCGCTGGTCCAGTGCGGAGCCCAACGGCCGGCAGCCCCACTACTGGAGCTCGTTAGGTTGGCGGAGTCTGCGGAGCCCGGGCACTCAAATTGGCACGACCCTCAGAGCCTCCCTCCACCCGGGGACCTGTGGCCCTGGCCGGAGCCCCACGCCCACCACCGAGAGGAGCGGCTAGAGCGGGCAGCCAGCCGGCCCCGCCGCCCCGCCTCTCCTCTCCCAGCCTCCTCTATCCCGGAAGTTGATACCAGGCGCCCGATCGCGTGCTCCTTGCCACGGGTGTCGCTTCAGAGATCTTGACGTCTGGCCTTGCGAGAGGATCAACATGCCTGTGAGTTGTTTACTTTCAGGCGTGTTTCGGGCTTCCCAATGAGTCGACGGGCCGGGGGCGGGTTAGCCCGACGGCTCCGCGGGCTCCTAGGACTCCCTGGGGAACCTGGCGATGCGGCTAGGATCGCGCAGCTCTTTCGTGCGTGGCCGACTTGTTGGGACTTGCCCAGGCAGCGGGACTTGTCCGGCCCTGCAAGCGCATGGAAATCTGGAGCCGCCCTCAGCTGCCAGCTGCTTCGGGGGCTAAGAAGGGACAGCTTCCCGAGGAACTTATCCATCTGGGTTTCTGGTGGGCACCCACGAGGCTGTGATCTTTAAAATCTTTTTGGCTCTCCGTGAATTTCGTGGTTTTCGTCCCCTCTGCCTTCTCTCGAAAGCGGTTTTCTGCTTGTTTACTTTTTAAAACTGACTTCGCGGATGCCTTGCACGTTAACCGTGAAGGACGGTTACTCCTCAGCCTCTCCGAGCTCCTGTCAGATCAGCTGTGGAACCCGGGGGTGGGGGAGGGGGGCAGAACTCACCCCGGCGTGGGCCTTCTCCGGTCTCTCTCAGCGATTTCTACTCTCGGCGGGCCCAGGGTGGGGGTGACGTTACTTAGAACCAGTTTTGTTTTTATTGAGGACTGTTACTCAGTTGAGTAAAGAAGAACAGGGTCCACCGTACCATATGTTTCCTGATCGTCAGGAAGCCCGTTTATAGGGACCGGGAGAACACAGGCATTACAAAAAGTATTGATGAAAGTTAAGCTTTAAAAAATCACACCTGAAATGTTGCCTCTATTGAGTATGACTTATTTTTGCATGTGTATTTCACGCATGGTTAAATCTGCCAGCATCGTGGTTTCACTTTAGTAGTAATAATACGCTTTTTTTATTCAGTTGGCTAGAGATTTACTACATCCATCCTTGGAAGAGGAGAAGAAAAAACATAAAAAGAAACGACTAGTTCAAAGTCCAAATTCTTATTTTATGGATGTAAAATGTCCAGGTAAAATGTCCAATTTAATTTCTTTCCCAATGAAAATTTCTATAGTGTGGTGTGTGTATTTTTAGGACCCTCTTTTGAGTGGAAGTGGGATAACAGATTTGGACCTTTTCATGGAAAACGTATTCAAACCACTGTAGTAACATTTGCGGGGAGGAGGGTAAAGATGGGGCTCCAAAGGGAATATGACTTCTGGTTTACTAAGTCTTTAAGCTGATACGATGATGTTTTCTTTTTCATGATGCAATGAAAAGTATGTTGATTCTTTAGTGTGAAGCTGTTCTGTTCCATATGGTGGCCGTTAGCTACATATGTAGCTACTGAACCCTTGAAATGTGGCTAGTTAAAATGGAAATAAACACTCTTTTTAAGTGTAAAATATACACCAGATTTTGAAGATGTAGCACACCTCCCCCCACATTACTGATCACCTGTTGAAATAATATTTAACAATTTTGTGGCTGCTAGAAAAGTTCAAGTTACATACGTGGCTTGCTATTGCACAGCACTTAAGTACTCAATCCTTTACAAGGTATTCACTAGAAATATGTAGAACAAGTGCCGTATTTTCTGCTTCTCATTTTTAACATGGCCCTTTTTTTAGGTTGCTACAAGATCACCACGGTTTTCAGCCACGCTCAGACAGTGGTTCTTTGTGTGGGTTGCTCAACAGTGCTGTGCCAGCCGACAGGAGGAAAGGCTAGACTCACAGAAGGTATGTCATTTGTCATTTTCTAACCCAGTGATAAAATTTTATTATTGTAAATATCTCTGTCTTTACCAAAAACAAGTTTAAAAGAAATCTTAAGTTCATAATTACCAAAATAATTTTGTCTTTTATCATGCATGCTTTCATTAAAGAGTGTCCTGTTTAATTGGAAAAGTTTACACTCTTGACCTTGCAAAGAAATCCTTTGAATATTATTTTTCTTAGTTTGGCATTCTGTTGTATTTAGTCAGATATTTTGCCTAACTTGGAATATTAAATCAGAATGGAGCAAAAGAGTAACTATATACAATAGGACATGGATTTTTTTTTTTAAACATAGGATCTAAAAATTTCTCTTGTAAATATTTTGTTTCATATGTATCATAAGACTTAAGACAGTTTTCATCATTGGTAACAAAGTAACAGAAAATATATAAATTTAAATGCTATTTTTTTTAATATCTATGAGTAACTACTTAATGCTTAATATAAAAATCTAATTTTGCCTTGACTGGTGTGGCTCAGTTGGCTGGGTGTTGTTTCGCAGAGGTTGTTGGCTCTGCTGGCTTGATTTCTGGTCAGAGCACATGCCTGGGTTACAGTTCTGCCCAGTTAGGGGTGGGTATGAGAGGCAATCGATTGATGTTTCCCTCTCACATCGATGTTTCTCTCTCTCTCTTTCTCCCTCCCTCTCTCTAAAAGAATTAAATACAAATTTTAAAAATTCTATATAATTTTAACCCCTCTTTCACTTTTATACAGTAAGTAAAAATAATAGTTACACGTAAAGTTTTCCATAGTACAGCTTATAGATTTAGAATTCCATATGGTATTTGAAATTTGCTTGTGATATTTTGGGGAGCTGTGAATTCCATGTTGTTCTCACTGGAGGAGTTCTAAGGGGATTTTCAACAAAATCAGGATCCATTTGCTATGACCTGGTAAGATATAAATATGAAGTCAGCATACTTGGACTATTTCCAAAACCTTTATATTATGCCAGCATTAAGTTTTAACTGATGAATTCAGGCTCATGGTCTTAAATAGACTCTGTTACAGCATTTGAGAAACAAGAGTGACAGTTATAATCATATCAGAGTAAATTCAAATATAAACAATTTATTATAGCAAATTTCTGGTATAAAAGGATAAATAACCTACATATGAATATTAATGTAATATTCCTAAAATGTAAGTTTTTTACTTAAGTACTTTTTTCCATTAAAACTAGACCAAAGAGCCCTGGCTGGTGGGGCTCAGTGGGCTGAATTCTGGCCTGCTAACTGAAAGGTTGCTGGTTAGATTCCTGGTCAGGGCACCTGCTTGAGTTGTGGGCCAGGTCCACAGTTGGGGGTGTGTGAGAGGCAACCAACTGATGTTTCTCTCCCTCTTTCTCACCACCTTCTCCTCTCTCTAAAAAAATAAATAAAATAAATAAAATAAAAAATATATGTATACCAAAGATAGAATAGACTTGTGTTTAATATGCTTTTATAATTCCATTGCAGGGTGTTCATTTAGAAGAAAGCAACACTAAAGATCCACACAGCTTCCTGAATTTGTGTTATATCACAGAAAGCCTTATCAGTTCAGTAATTCTAGTTAATCTACCAAGATAATGTAATTACATTTAATTTTGTAAGTATACAACAATTATTTCCTATTTTGGTGTCAGCTTTTCAATAAAGATAAAGTTTTGATTATGGGAAAATTCCCCCCTTTTCTTTTTTTTTCTAAGTATGTGTGCATGTTATGCATTAATATATACTTTGTGAGTTGGGTTTAAATTTTTTAAAAAAGGTATTCTGATTCCTTTGTGCTTCATTTCAGGAGTAGAAACCCTAAATATTTAATTTTCAGTCCTTTTCCAAATTGCTATGAATGGGGCTAAACAATTACAAGTGGAAAGAAGTCCTTTATTACTTTATAGTAATAGAAGTCCTTTATATATATAGAAGTCCTTTATAGTTTTGCTATTGTAACTCTGGAAACACATTTTAGAAGTACATATTTAATATAGTAACAATCACAGTGTAATGCCTTGCATTTATGTGGCCCTGATATACAGCATAATTAGGACTGCATTTGGGGTTTGAATTATAGGAAGCTCCTTTTGGGGTAGAGAATTGGTCCTGGCCAGGTGGCTCAGCTGATTTTGGAAAGTTGCTCTTACACCAAAAGATTGCAGGTTCAGTTCCTGGTCAGGACACATACTGGAGGTCACCAATCAATATTTCTCTCTCTCCTCTCTCCCTAAAATCAATAAAAGCATGTCCTTGGGTGAGGATTAAAAAAAATATATATAGCATGAATTGAAAAAATTTACAAACATGAATATAAGATCTAGAGATCAGGAGAAGCAATAAAGAAATAAGGAGATGAAATGGATCCATTTAATAGAAAGCTGCTTTATACTTCAACCAACTCAGAGATATCCATCTGTTTACCTTCATAGATTGAAGTGGAAAGTACAAAAACAGGCTTAGGGCTCAGAACAACAGAAAAACCTTTTATTAGGTTGTATAAAAACTTTATTATTATTATTATTTTTTTGGAATTATCTGAATTCAGTGTAATCTCCAATATAAACCATCTATGGCTGTTACTACAAAACTTCTCAGTAGGTTCACTACATGAGCCATTTGTGGAACCAGTGTCCAAGATGGCTCCCAATGATCCCTACTTCTGATATTTAGCCTTTGTGTAGACTTCCTCCAAACTGAGTCAGAGTTGGTCTGTGTCACCAATAGAATTTGGCATGTGACATTATATGACTTCCAAGGCTAGACTATAAAATACACTGTAGCTTTGTCTGGTTCGCTCTTCACTCTGAAAGAAGCAATAAGACAGTCAAGAATATCTATGGAGAGGCCCATGTGATGAAAAACTGAGACCTCTTGCCAAATCCAGAAAGCCCTCTTGCCTATAGCCACGTGGGTGAGTCCCCTTGGATATCCTCTTGGATAGATCCTCTAGCCCCAGTCAAACTTTCAAATGACTGAAATGCCTGTTGACATCTTTCTTGCAATCACACAAGAGACCCTGAACTAGAACCACTGGGCTAAGCTGCACCCAAACTTAGGAAACATGGAAATTGTGAGATGGAATAATTTGTTATGCAGCAATAGATAACTAATGCACATGATACAAAATGAAAGAAGCCAGACACAAAAGGCCACATACTGTATGAATTCATTTATATGAAATGTCCGTAATAGGCAAATCCAGAGCCAAAAAGTAGGTTGGTAGTTTCCAGAGCTTGTGAGGAAAGAGAAATGGGAATGACGGGTTATAAGATTTCTTCCTTGAGTGAAGATGTTCTAGAATGGAAGCACAACCCAATGGATATATTAAAACCCACTGAATGTACACTTTAAAAGGATGAATTTCATGGTATATGAGCTATGAATTGCACCTGAAGTATGTTTAATAGATTTTGATACTGGAAGAAGAGTGTAGCTGTAACAAAAACAGCTGTGGATTTGGAACAGAGCAGTGAATAGAAGTTGGAAGGACTTTGAAGAGAGTGTTACTGCAAGCCCAAAGAACCTTGACAAAACTGTTGAGAAGTATTGGGTTGGCCAAAAAGCTTGTTTAGTTTTTTTCTGTATGATAGCTCTAGTAACATGTAGTTGTCTTTAACTTCATTTGAAACAATTTTGTTAGACTGTGCTGTGATAGCTATCATATCAGAGTGCATTTTAAAAAAAAATTACAAAATTGGTGACTGTGCAGCCATTTTAATATTGAAGATGAAAGAAATTTGCAACCTTTTTGACATATTATGTTTTACTATTTCAAGAAAGGTAAAAACACAGCTGAAATGTAAAAGTGGACTTATGCAGTCTATGGAGGAGTTGCTGTGACTTATCGAACATGTCAAAAGTGGTTTGTGAATTTTCTTGGTACTATTGACATTTTGGCCTAATAATTCTTTGCTGTGGGGCTGTCTTATGCATTCGAAGATGGTTAGCGGCACCCCTGGCCAATAGAAGCCAATAGTGGGAGACAGCTGACATATTCAATATATCCAAATCAATAAAGTTATTTGTGAAAATGAAAAATGTGTCTTATTTTATGGAAAAAACTAAACAGACTTTTTGGCCAACTCAATATGATGGCTGTTGAGACTGCATTGTGAACTTAGAGTAAGTTAAATCTTATTAGAAGTTGCAAGAAAGGGTATTACTGTTATGTAGTAGCAGAAAGTTTAGCAACACTGTTGCCTGCAGGAATATAGAAATTAAATGATAACTGGGTAATGTAGTTGAGGAGATTTCCAGTATTGAATTTGCCTCCTGGCTTCTTGCTGCTTATGCAAGAGAGAGAGAAGCTAAAGGGAGGTCTACTAAACAGAAAGGAATCCATAGTCAATGGCTTTTCAAAAATCCCCAGATTCTCCAGATGGCAAATGATGCTAAATTTAAGAAATGGCTTCAAGGCAAAGACAAACAGGGGACTTTCAGGGAAACATGGTCTAAAGATGAAATTGAAGGTATGACTCTTAAAGTTCTTTAAAACTGCAGAAAAAACTAACATGGTTTTATTAGAAGCTGAATGGTGTTTTCTCCAATTGTCTCAGCAGAGGCCCAAGTTAGAGGGTGCTTATTTTGAAGAAATTTTTGCGTATGGCTTTTGTTTACTATCATGAGTCCCAGTGAGATTTGTAGGAAACTAGCAAAGTTTTAAAAATGTATACTGGGCTGATACACTGCTAAGTTAGACTGAAAGGAGAGAGAGTACAAAAGAGGCCTTTGGACCCCCACATTTCTGTAGAGAGAAAGCAGGCTGAAAAAAAAAATCCCATTAAGCTGCAAACACATGCTACCTTTCCTGAGAAAAGAGTAACTCAAAGGGCAGACTCAAGATCCCAAAAATACTTAGCCAAGAATCACGAATTGTTCCTGAGTCTTGAGTATTAATCAAGGAGCTTCCAACCTGTGTCTGGTTGGATTCCAGAATTCCTATGACTCTTGCATGTCTTCCATTTCTCCACTCTTTGAACAGGAGGACCTATAACAATAATCTTAGATATGTTATGCCATTGGATGTTGTACATGTGGGGAACAAATAACTTGTCTTTAGTTTACAGGTCTTCAGATTAACAGAAACCGTACTTCAGTTACCCACAAGGAGCCTTTTTCACATTTAGACCTGATTTAGATAATAGATACTGGGCTTTGAACTGATCATGAGATGACGTTTCTGGAGAACTTGGAAGGAGGTAAATGTAGTTTGCATTTGGGAAGGACATGAATCATTGGGAGCCAGAGGTTAGGCTATGGTAGCCAGCTTCCAAAATGATCCTCAGTGATTGCCACCTCCTAATATTCATACCGTGTTCAATCCCTCCAAGGGTGTAGCAGGGTTGGTCTTTGTGATCTAGGGAATATAGCAAATGTGATGGCATATGACTTCTGAGGCTAGGTTATAAAAGACATTGATTTCTTCCTGGCTGGCTTCTTGAATAACTTGTTCTGGGGCAGCCAATCACCATGACATTAAGATAACTCAAGCAATCATACAGAGAGGCCCACACGGTGAAAAACAGGCTTCTTGCCACCAGTCACGTGTGTGAGTCATTTGGTAAGCATTTTCTCCAACTCCAGCATCTTGTCTTCAACCTCGTTACAGATTCTGGCATCAGACCCACCCAGCCAAGCTATTCCTGAATTTCTGAGCCTCAGAAACCTCTTAAGATAATAAGTACATATTTGCTCCTTTAAACTGCAACAGATAAACTAATATATCATTTCTCATAGTCTTGTTTCTGTTGTATTTAAAGAGCAAGGGATCCAAGATGGCAGTGGCATAAGGTGTTGAAATCGTCTCTCCCACAATCACACTGAAAAAATACACCTATATAGAGAGCAGTTACTCATGAGAGACAAGAGAGGGCTGAATGAATAGCCTCTGAACTACAAATGAGAGGAAGAGACTGAATAAAGAAGGCTGCAAAATTACAGGAGCTCTGTGAGAGCTGTGGGAATTCTATGAGGTCAGAGGTGCCAATGAGTGACATTGTTTACAGCCCCCTCCACCTTGATAGGGTGGGAGTTCTATTCAGGTGCTCTGGCTTACATGCAAGGTCACGATAGCATATTCCTGGAACATCACCTGAGCCCATTTTGGCTCTTAACAAAGGGAGCAGACAGGATCAAAAGGACATTACTATGCATACCTGGCCTTCCCACCCAGAGCCATTCTGGCCCAGTAGGCCAGTGCCTGGGATGCCATAGGCACCCACTCAATTCCAAAAGCATCTGCACATACAGGCTACACAGAAGTTGCTTCTACACAAGTCCACTTTTTCAAGACTGGGAGAGAGAGCTATTTTATCTAATTTATATAAACATAGAAAGTCAAACAGAATGAAGACAGAAGAATGTCTCTCAAATGAAGGAACAAAAACAATTTCCAGAAAAACACCCTAAGGAAACAGAGTTAAGTAATTTGCCTGATAAATCAAAGAAATGACCATAAGGATTCCCACCAAACTTGAGAGTGGAATAGAAGAACTTAGGAAGCACTTCAACAAACAGGAAGTATAATAAAGGGCCAAGCAGAGCTGAATATAATAACTCAAATGAAAAATACTTTGGAAGGAATCAATAACAGGTTAGCTAATAGGAAAGAACAGATCAGCTCCCTGGAAGACAGATTAGTGGAAATCACCAATCATAGTAGCAAAAAGAAAAAAAAAAGAATTCT